ATAATGAAAACTGATTATGATTCTGAAAATTAGCTCTTTCTTCTAAAATAATGGGAATGTCATTTTAAATGAAAAAATTTTAATAGTGGAGGCATTTTATTTGCTGGGAATATCAAAAGAAAAGAATATAAGTGGGATCAAGAAGTAAATAGTTACTTTAATCAGACAACTTTCAAAGACCCAACTTACTGTCTCTCCATGGGAATACTTCCCAAAAGGCGTTCTACAGATCACTAAGATATACTTCTCCAAGGGGCGAGGAGGAAAGCATCCTTCCCTCCATCCTTATTACGCTACCCCTTTTACTTTTCTCCTCCCCTTTAGTTTTCTCCTTTTACTATCTGGCATATATCCTTATATACTGTCCATTTCTAAGATGCTAGGCATTGTTTTTTCACCTCATGGGCACGTGCTCTCTGCTTCACTTCAACATCACCTACAGGGCGCTGGGGGAACCTGTGTCTGAAGTAATCACCACAGTCAGTCTGGCAACAGGAGGACTATCACAGAAAAACAGCTATCTTAGCACAGAAGAAAGCATTAGAAGCCAATACAGATGAAACGTGGTGAGGAAATATGTAATATTTTAAGAAAATGTGGCATCAGGTTTGCTAGGGAGAAAGGGACAAACCTGACAATGGAAGACATTCAAAAGAGGCAAGGCATGTCACAGCAAAGAGAGAATTTTTCTGTCATTTGCAGAGAAATCAAATCAGCCATTTAAGAGTAAAGCTGCCCTGGGCTTCTAACAAAGGAGGCTACAACTTAACAGTGCCAGGTTTTGTCCATTAACTCTCCAGCAAATTCCACTCGCAGAATTAATGGCCTCTGATGAGCTTTGTGCATCCCCTTGGCCCTTTAGCTGTTAAACTGAGGCTTCTTGCAAAAACAGCCAATACTCAGAAGAATTTAGAATGAGACACCTATACAAATCACTAGCTAGAACAGGGAACCCAATGCCTTGGCTTTACTGAAGTTGCCTTTGTCATATAACCTCAGAGAGGCAGATGCATCCCCTTTCCACCTACTCCTGCTATGGGCAGCTGGGTGTCACCATTGGTGCAAATGAGCCTGGGAACTATAGGAGCCTGTCAGGAGCAGAAAGAGGGCCAAGTCCTGGGTGTGGGAATGAGGAGACTTCAGGCTCCTCATATGCAAAATGGGGAGAAGAATTTCTGCCCTGCGTATTTAAAGAGGTTGATGCGGAGACTGAGTGAGAGTATGCAGGGAAGTATGTTATAAAATCTAAGAGATACTATACCAGTATATGATAATATATACCTGCTACTGGTGGTGTGGTGCCTAAGGCATTTGACTGCTAACCAGAAGGCTGGTGGTTCAAACCCACCAGCCACTCCTCAGAAGGAAGACTGGGCAATGTACTTCCACAGTGATACTGCCTCAGAAACCCAAGGAGGGGTCACTACGAGTCAGATCAGACACGACGGCAGTGAGTTTTGGTTTGGAATAATAAAACAAAGAAGTCCTGATGTGCACTGGTTAAGCACTTGGCCCAGGTAAGAATCAGCTGGGGATCTTGTTAAAATGTAGGTTCTGATTCAGTGTATCTGGGGTGGAAATGCAAACTCTCAACAGGGGTCAAACCACAATGAACTCGTTCAAAGGCCTGCTCCCAACCCTTTAGGATAGTGTATGAGACATCTAAATTTGCGCTAAGCTTGGGGAGAAGCCAACTGGAATCACTAAACAGGTAGTCCCCAACCTATGACATATTCAAGTTACACCAAACTGCACTTAAAAAGTCTTTTTTTTTTTCACATCTTATGTCAGTAATATTGTACTACATACAGTGTTGCAATGCATAATTTGCTGATGTCATCTCTCATGCCAACCCCCCAAAGACAAAAAAAGATCAGATTTTAAAGATATTGATGATAAAAGGCAATAATAATGAAAACTTAAAAAAAAAAAAAAGTATTTGACTTACATCAGAACCGACTTAATGATGGAGTCGTCGGAACAGAGCCCTGTTGTAAGTTGGGGACTACCTGTAATAAAAAACTGGAATCATAGGATTTCTTCAAGGTAATGCAACATTAATTCTTTCTACTGGATCAAAACAGGAATTGCCTAGTAAGAAGAAATGTCTAATACACAGAAGTCAGTTACAATCAGCACATCACAGTACTGCCTGAGCCAGCGTGTTCTCCCGCAGCAGCATTTCCCTGGCTTCCTTTCTTGAGAGTCAAAAGGTAAGTCCTTTCATGAATCTGCTCGATAAGAGCTCCAGGATCCAACCTGTCTAAAGAAATGCTCTCAGAGATGGAGACCTCCCAGCTCCCTGGCCGCTCAGGCTATTTTTGAACAGTACTAACTATAATTGTGATATTGGGACTGTGGTCTTTGGACTCCCAGTCTGTGCTCCTTCTCACTACTACTTTTGCACTCTTCACAGCTCACTGCCAGGGTTTTTTAAAAGTCACTTTAGTTTTGTGTATTTCACTGTACATAAATTATATTTCAATACAATATATTTTAAAAAAAGTTTCAAAAGAGTTCATACATTCATCACAGAGTACTTTGAATTTTCAAATTTAAGTAAAAAGATGTTAACAAGTTACACATATATCTAAATAGAACCAGTCTAGAAAGACAACAGAGATTTTGATTAAGAAAACCTGGGCAAGAGAGAAAACTCTCTGTATAGTGGGAATAATAAAAGCTTTCCCATAAGATTAAAGTGAGGATTAAACAAGACAGCATCTGTGAAACCATCCTGAACAGGGTATGCACAAAAAACAGGCCCTCAATATAGGGTAGTTAAATTTGAAGCTGTACCTCTATCCATCTAAGATTCAATTTCCAATTGATTTAAACAGGGACAGCTATGTACATAAACACAGATGAAATGAGGTCTATGTGAACATAAGCCTGTTGTTCACATAGCATGCTATAAATGGTGAGAGAGTTACATACATGCTAGTAAATAATAAATTATTAATGATAGCAAACGACAGACAGGTGGTAAGATTGTTCTGATGTAGTTTTCTAGGCTTATACTCCTTGGCAGATTCTACTCACTTTGTCCATGCAGCTGACTTGAGGCAGAGCACAGTAACTCAAACCCCTTAGAGGGGGAAGACAAAAGGAGTGGTAACATTCTTTGTTGAATAAAGATCACACCTACAGCTCCTTGCTATATAACAGGGTTTTCCCATCTCAGCACTATTGATATTTTGGGTTGGATAACTCTTTGTTGGGGTTGAGGGGGGGCTGCACTGTGCATGTTTACCAGGATTTCTGGCCTCTATCCACTAGATGCCAGTAGTACCTGCATGACTCCCTAGTTTTAACCACCACAAATGTCTCTAGATATTGTCAAATATCTCCTGGAGTCTGCAGGAACTCACACTAAGTGAAGGGTTATTTCAGCATCAAGTCTTCCCCTAGGACCTCTCCTGGTGTAATAAAGGGAAAAATAAATTCAAGAATTGACTGGCATGAACAGAGTTTCCTATCAGAGTTCCTTAGTAGAACACAGTCATTGGTAAATCATTTTAATCTGGCTACCTGGACTAATGTTAGATGATAACTTAAATATTCTTCTTAGAGTTTAATATTAAACTCAGTTCCAAGAGGTTGCTAAGCAGATTGTAATTAAAAAATAATGTGGCAGACCAAATCTTCCACTTTAATATTCTTCTTCAATCTGGAATTTAGATCAACCTGGTAAATAGTATTTCACTCTTGGTCATCAGGGTCCTTTTGCTAACAGAGGGGACAAATTATTACTCAACATAATACTTGTGGATCTAAAACCTTTAATTCCTACACTTTTCACTACAGTTTTAAGGTATTTTCCTGTCAACATAAAAAACAAAAATAAATGCAAAATTAAAGAATTATGTGTTGTGTAACACAGTAGTGTTTGCCAGTTGCATTAAGTCAGTGGCTGTGACAATAATGCTACTATAAATTATGTTATGCATAATCAAGAGAAGATTAAGGATCTATTTGTCTGCAAGCCTGGTTTTTATATTGCATTCCTAAGTTTACTTTTTATTAAAAAATTTATTTTTACTTATGAGATATGAAAAAAATAAACTCTGGCTTTCAAATTTGAAAAAGTTCCACTGCCACAAGTCAATTCCAACTCATAGTAACCTTAAAGACAGAGCAGAGCTGCCCCATAGAATTTCTAAGGCTGTCATCCTTTTGGAAGCAGACTGCCACATTTTTCTCCCGTGAAGTGGCAGGTGGGTTTAAGCCAGTGACTTCTCGGTTAGCAACTGAGCGCTTAATCACTGTACCACTAGGGCACCTTTTACTCTGGCTTTTGTAAAGAGGACATATAGCATCATGAGAATTCAGACTTTGATGTCAGGTGGCCTGTGTTCAAATTTCAGCTTCCCACTTTTTTTCTGTCTTTGGCCAAATGCTTAATATCCCTAAAGCTTCTGTTTCCTTTTCTACAAAATAAGTTTCTGCTTCCGAGGGTTGTTAGGGGGATTAAGTAAGATAGTATCTGAAGCACTTAGCATGGGGCTAAGAAAAGACTCCACCAAAGCAAAAGAAACGCTGTGTCAGCTCTGAATGCACTTGGGCTATTGGCAGTCTTACCACGCTCCATGAGTCTTGCTAGAGCTGGATGTCTGAAAGAGCATCTTACCCTTTAGAAGCCTTTCTTCTTCGAAACTATTCAGACCATCTTAGTAATTCAAGGAAAGAACAGCTGGTCTTGAGAAACGAGACTCACCCACTTCCTCCTGGAACCTGTGAGACCCACACAGCACACCCAAACCAAACCTAGAAAGGATCCCTGACTTCTCACCCTGGAGTACTGAGCTCCTTTCCACAGACCACGAGGGCTTAGATTAACTCTTGCTTTTACCCATGGCCCTTGACCCCACAGTCGCCACCCCATCCAACAATCAGCTCATATGATACGGCAATAGACTGTTTTCATCCCCAAAACCATGGGACCAGGATCCTGCAGTAGAAGGCAAGGCAAACCCAATTGTTCTTAACGTTACACTGACCTTCTGCCTTTGAGACCTGGAAGCCACAGCACTGGTGGACATAAATTCTACTGCCTGCTGCTCCAGATCCAAGGGGATAGGGTAGCTCTCTGGTAGAAATCTGTCTGTTGCCTCCTGGAAGAGAGGAAACCTGGATTCCTACAGAGCTTGAAATGGCCGTTTTAAGCTGAAGGGAGGGGTTGATGAAAATCAACAGCTGTCTCAATATATCTGGCTTGACTCACCCTTTTGAGGTTACTAGTGCTTGAGAACATCTTTGGCTGAGTTTCAAGGGTGTTGTGTGTTTAAGAGCACAGACCCTTTAAAGCCGAATGATGGATGATCTGGGCACCACAAACTTCCCAGTATGTGTGTGTGTGCCAGGCCAATGTGGGATCTCTGGGGCAGGGAGACAGCATCCTGGGGTGTGAATATGATACACTGAGCTATTTTAAATGCCCAGAGGATGACACATCTGGAAAAGGAGAACTGTTCTAGCCAACTGAGCTTGACTCTGAATAGCATGATGCTCACTCACCATCCTAAAGGTTCATATTTCCCAAGGTCACTAAAGGCCCCACCTGGAACCGTGGAATGCTATGGAATAGGTGTTATGTACTGAAAGCTCAATCCCCAGGGAAGTAACTTAAAAATAGCACCAACTAGTATCATTGGAAGCAGGCAAAGACCAGAAAAACACCTAAAGAGATTCAGCTTACTTTGTTCACAGGCTTCTCTGGAATCTTCACAGACCCCTCAGCTGGTTTTCCCTTCTTTGATGGTGTTCTCTTGATTTTGGGTGAGTGGAATTTGTCCATCAGCTTCATGGTGAAGGAGGAGAGATGAGAACGCTGAGAGTCTGAAAACAAAAAGGGCACTGCCTGTTAGAGGGCAGAGTGGAAGAAGCTGTGGTTCACTGACCTTTCATGGAAATGAGCAATCTTCCCCAAACAATTTTTGTTTTTCCTGTCCACTCAGAGTTTCAAAGGAAAGGAAATATGACTCTATTAAGACATTTCTCTTGCATGCCTCAATTTCTGAAATTTCCTTCTAGGTTAGGTTGTTCAGAACTGTGGAAGGCGAAGGTGATCAAAACAGGTATGCAAAAAGACCTCACAAACATTACTAAGTAGACTCATAAAGTTCATACAATGCTCTAGCAAATATTCAAAGAGAACTACCTAAAAAAAAAAAAAAAAGATACCAAAGAAAAATCACAGAAGGAGAGGGAAGGAAGAACTGGAAAGAAAGGTCTTTCTAATTAATCTCATCCTTTTTCAGGTGAGGGAACTGCAACAAGTGACATGGGCAAGGTCCCAGAGTTGGCAGTGGAGAATGAAGCAGAACTAAAGTGGTCAAAACCCCCTGGCCATTGTTGAAAGGCTGCAAGCGTTCATCTTAATATCAGAAATAGGACAAGGGTATCTGCTCTCACCACTTCTATTCAGCATTGTAGTGGAAGTTGCAGTCAGGAAAACTAGGAAAAAAAAAAAAAGTAAAAGGCATGCTGACTAGAAAGGAGGAAGTAAAACTATCTCTATTTGTAGATAACATGATCTTGTATATGGAAAATCCCAAGCAATCCACTAAAATATCATTAGAACTAAAGCAAACTCAGCAAGGTTGTGGGATACAAGATCAATACACAAAAATTATCTTTCCATTCATTAGCAATGAATATACTGAAAATGAAATTTTAAAAAATTCTATTTACAGTACCATCAAAAGGAATAAAATACTTAGGTATAAATTTAACAAAAGAAGTATAAGACTTGGGCCTATGGGCTCCAGACCATGGTTGCAGGGGACATCAAGCTCAATTGGCACAACATACTACACAAAAACACTGTTCTACATCCTACTTCGGTGAGTGGCAACTGGGGTCTTAAAAGCTTATGAGTGGACATTTAAGATGCAAAATTGGTCACTCCTCACCTGGAGCAAAGATGAAAGAATATCAAAGACACATGGAAATTATTAGTCCAAGAGACTAGTGGACCATGGGAACCTCAGCCTACATGACCCTGAGACCAAAAGAAGTATATGGTGCCCGGCTACCACTGTCAGCTACTTGGGGAGGATCAAAATAGGAGTTCCTAGATAGAGTGGGAGAAAAATGTTGAACAAAACTCACTGCAAAAAAAAAAAAAAAAAGACTAGGCTTACTGATCTGATAGAGATTGGTGAGATCCCCAAGACTATGACTCCTAGTCATCCTTCAGGTCTGGAATTGAACCCATTCGTGTGGTTTCCAGCCAGACAATGGACAGGCCTATAAGGTGAACATTTACACCAGGTAGGCACACTCCTTAGAACAGTCAACCATGAGAGATCAGAAAGACAGCATTTGCACAGGGAGATAGCTCAGAGAGCAGCAATGCATAGGAAAGAAGGATACAGAGAAAAAGTAACCACAGAGAGGAACTGGGAAAGAGCTATTACATTATGGGCATTGTAATCAATGTCATGAAACAAAATGTGTATGAACTGTTGAATGGAAAATGAATTTGCTCTGTAAACTTTCACCCAAATCACACACACACACACACACACAAAGTGCAAGACATACATTGATAACTATAAAAATATAGCTGAAAGAAAATAAAGACAATCTAAAAAAATGGAAAGATGTGCTACGTTTATGGATCAAAAATCTTACGATTGTTAAGATGGCAATACTCCCCAAATGGACTCAATGTAATTCGTATCAAAATCCCAGCTGGCTTTTTTTTTTTTTTCCTCTGTAGAAATTAAACTGATCCTAAAATTCACATGGAAACACAAACCCAGTGCCATCAAGTTGATTCTGATTCACAGCAACTCTACAGGACAGAGTAGAAGCAGAACCTCTCCACAGGGTTTCAAGCTGTAAATCTTTTATTTTAAATTGTGATTTTGGGAAAAGTTTACAGAGCAAATTGGTTTTCCATTCAACAATTCATACACATTGTATTGTGTGATACTGATTGCAATCCCCACAATGTAACAGCACTCTTCCCACTTATTCCCTGTGTCTACCATTTCCCTTCCTCCTTCTTAAGGCTGTAGGAGCTCCGGTAGCATAGTGCCTAAGGCACGTGACTGCTAACCAGAAGGCTGGCGGTTCAAACCCACCAGCCACTCCTCAGGAGGAAGGTGGGCAATCTACTTCCATAGTGATACCGCCTCGGAAACCCAAGGAAGGGTCACTATGAGTCTGGTTCAACTCGACAGCAAGTAACAACAACAAGAAGGCTGTGAATCTTTATGGAAGATTACCGTATCTTTCTCCCACAGAGCAGCTGGTAAGTTCAAATTGCTGACCTTTTGGTTAGCAGCCAAGCGTTTTAACCACTGCGAGATGCAAGGGACCCAAAACAGCCAAGACAATCTTGGAAAAGAACAACAAAGTTTGGAGGGCTTATACTTTCTAATTTCAAAACTTAATGCAAAGCTACAGTAATCAAGACACTGTGGTAATGGCATAGACATACAGGTCAACACAACAGATGAAAGAGTCCAGAAATAAACCAATACATTCATGGTCAATTGATTTCCAACAAGGGCACCAGGACAATTCAATAGGGAAAAATAGTTTTTCAATAAATGGTGCTGGGATAACTAGATTTCCATATGCAAAGAATTAAGTTGTACCCTGACCTCACACTATTCACAAAAAATTAACTCAATATGCACCACAGACCTAAATATACAAGCTGAAACTACAAAATTCTTAGAAAACGTAGTAGTAAATCTTCATGATCTTGAGTTAGGCAAAGACTTCTCAGATATAACACCAAAAGCACATGCAACAAAAGAAAAAAAAAAACCAGATAAATAGGACTTCATAAAAATTAAAATTTATGCTGCAAACAATACCACCAAGAAAGTGAAAAGATAATTTACAGAATTGAAAAAAAAAAAAAAAGATTTGCAAATCATACATCTGATAAGGGACTTGCATTCAGAAATACAATAAAAATTTAATAACTCAATAAAAAAAGATAAATAATCCAATTAAAAATGTGCAAAAGCTGACCTTTCAACAATAGATTATCTAATATAATAACAAAGGGGCCAACAGCAAAAGAAGAAATAAATAAATGGGATCTCATAAAAATTAAAACTTTTTTGTTCATCAAAAAAGATTTTACCAAAAAAGCAAAAAGACAAGCGAACAACTAGGACAGTATCTTTGGAAACCATACAGCCAACAAGAATCCAGTAATCAAAATATATATGTAACTCAGACGAATTAACAACAAAAAGACAAATAACTCAATCATCAAATGGGCAGAGGATTTAAATAGACAGTTTATCAAAGACAACATTCAAATGGCCACCAACACGTGAAAAGATGTCATTAGCCATTCTGAAACTACTGCCATGAGAAAATCTTCTTTTTTTAAATTGTGATTTGGGAGAAAGTTTACAGAGCACAATCATTTTCCATACAGCAGCTCACATACACTTTGTTTCATGACATTGACTGCAATCTCCCACAATGCAACAGCTCCTTTTCCCCTTCCTCCCCATTACCTCTTCCCTGTGTCCATCCCTCCATGCACTCCTCCCCCCTGAGCTGTCTCCCTGTGCATACACAGCCTTTCTATTCTCCCATGATTGATCTCTCCAAGGAGTGTATCTACCTAATCTAAAAGTTCAGCTCATATGCCTGTCTTTTGTTTGGCTGGAAGCCACAGGAGTGGGTTCAATTCCAGGCCTAAAGGGCAACTAGGGGCCATAGTCTCAGGGGTTTCACCTGGCTCTTTCAGACCAGCAAACCTGGGCCTTTTTTTTTTTTTTTTTAAAAATGATTTTGAGTTTTGTTCCACGTTTCCTCCTACTCTATCCAGGATCTCCTACATAGATCCTCCTCTGAGTGGTTGACAGCAGTATCCAGGTACCAGCTAGTTCTTTTGGTCTCATAGTCGTATAGGCTAAGGATCATGTAGGATTGTGCAGTTTATCAGTCCCTTGGACCAACTGTTTCCATGCATCTTTGGTTTTCTTCATTGCCATGAGATAATCTTAAAATATCCCCATAAGTTATCTTAAAACCAAACAACAGTTAAGCTAAATAGTTAGCTTACCCAGCCAAAAGGTATGCCTTCGGTATTATGCTCTTTTAAGAACCATCTACATGGGATCAAAGGAGCTCTGGTGGCATAGTGCCTAAGGCATCTGACTGCTAACCAGAAGGTTGGTAGTTCAAGCCCACCAGCCACTCTGCAGAAGGAAGATGGGACAAACTACTTCCGTAAAGATTTACTGCCTGAGTTTTTTTTTTTTTTTTAAATATGAGATCAACCTGACAACAGCCTCAGAAGAAAGGCCTGGTGATCTGCTTCCAAAAGGCCCTGAAAACCTCATGAACAACAGCAACTTGAAAGATAATTTAAGAAACCTTGGGGCACTGAATTTTCATTGATGAGGGAGGACCAACTCAGAAAAAGAGGATGAGAGTAGCTGCAAAACTAGAAGAATGTAATCAATTTCTCTAAATGTACATATGGAAACTTTGGGGCTTGTGTATGTTTTGCTGTGTATATTCTCAACAACAAAATAAATATAATTCAGGAGAAAAAAGGGGGGGGGCAAAAGATTTGAATAGACATTTCTTTAAAAAGATATATGTATAGCCAATAAACATACGAAAAGATGCTCAACATTATCTGCCCATTAGGGAAATAAAAATCACTAGATACTACCTTATACCCATTAGGATGGCTATAATCTAAAAGATAGACAATAACAAGTGTTGGTGAGGATGTGAAGAAACTGGAATCCTCATACACTGCTGACTGAATTGTAAAATGGCATAGCTCCTTTGGGAAAAATGTCTGACAGTTCCTCAAAAGGTTAAATTCACTCCTGAGT